CCCCGTCACTCCCCCAGCCCCCATGGGTGCCCCACCCAAGCCAGCTCCGGCGCTTTACGGAAAAAAAAAAAAACCCGGGACTCTCCGCTCATGCAGCAACCTTGGGGCTTTGGGGGCTCGTGTAGAGCCCCCACATGGTGCAAGGCAATGACGGGCAGCAGGGATCACCCCCCACCAGCAGGAACAGTGAGTCTGGGGTTTTTCAGGGGTTTTTTTTTCTTAAAGGGCGAGAGCTGGCTTGGGTGGGGTACCCATGGTGGGGCTGGGGGAGCAGGGGGAGCCCCCCATGCTGTGGGGGGTAGTGAGGATCACCCCCTGCCCAGCAGCACCCATTAAGTCAGGGATTTTTTTTTTAACAAGTGCTGGGAGCTGGGGCAGCCATTGCTGGGCTGGGAGAGGGGCAGGGGATGGCCCTGGCTGATTTGGAGATTCGGCAGCAGCCAAATCTCCAAATCAGAGTTGGCCAAATCGAATCGGGACAGTGATTCGAATCACCAAATCGAATCACTGTCCCCCGAATTGGCTGAATCTGAAGCGAATACTAGCCACTTCACGCAAGCCTAGTGGCCGGCCCATCTTAGCTGTGCCAGTTGCAGCAGGGTGTGAATACGGGGGAGAGTTGATCTTCTGAGCACCTCGGTGTCCCAAATCTTGTCCTGCCACTTGATCTTTAGTATCTTTTGCAGGCAGCACAAGTGGAAGTAGTTTAGTTTCTTGGCATGACACTGGTAAATGGTCCAGGTTTTGCAGGCATAAAGGAGGGTCGGAAGGATGATGGCTTTGTAAACCTTCAGTTTTGTCGACATTCTGATGCCTCTGCGGTCCCAGACTGACGTATGGAGTTTGCCAAAGGCCACACTAGCTTTTGCTAATCTCACATTGACTTCGTCATCAATGCGGACAGCACGGGAGAGTGTGCTGCCTAGACAGGCAAACTTGTCAACTATCGACACTTGTTGGCCTTTAACTGAGATGTGTGGCTCCTGGGGTGTTGTGCCAGGTGCAGGTTGAAACATCACTTCAGTCGTCTTCATGTTAATAGTGACTCCGAGGTTGTCACGGGCTGACAGGAGTAGGTCCATGGATCGTTGCATGTCAGCCTGTCAGCATAGTCATCAGCAAAGAGGAAGTCGTGAAGCGTGGCTGTCTGGACTTTGGAGCTCACTTGGAGCCTGCGCAGGTTGAAGATGTCTCCGTCAAAACAGTACCTGATCCCCACATGTCACAGCAGTTACCTATTAGCAGGTGGCGGTCCAATGTTATATAACAAATATTGCACGACTTTAAATGACTATGTTCCCTAATAGATCAGATCAGCAACGTTATAACAAAACGTTAACCAGGATGATGTTAAGTGAGGAGTACCTGTACTGTTCCCTAATGTAGCCTAATCGACAAAAGAAGGTATCACAAGTGAAAACTTCCCCTATAAAAGATAAAGACAATTAACAAACCTTTCATATTACATGTGAACATTAAGTAAATTTGTGCTTTAGCCCTGAACTCAGGTAATAGTTTGATAGTATTATCAGATTTTAATAGCCTGAAAATTGATGCACTCAGAAACCTTTGTCACCATGCTAGTAGAAAATGTGGATTTGGGGCTCAAAGATTATAACTGAGGGGCCCCACAAGAGTAGTAAACAGGCAACATTCAACTGGGATATTTAAATGAATTACACAGCTTTCCATACAGTAATACAGACAATGGGCCCCAAGTGCATGTTGAATATATAGTATTACTGACTTCAGTTAAGCCATACTAGAGACCTGTTTCGCTAGCTGTTATCTGAGTCATATGACATTTTTAGGGTTTTAGTTTGCAGGATTTCATCCCATGCAGGTTTCAATGGCTCCTTACTGTTTCACATTCAGTTTCAGATTTGATGACACCTCCAAAGCCAAAGTGAAACCCAATCAAAACTGCGTGCTTTGCTTGATTTCACATTGCAACTATAACCTTCACCTGTCCGATTCTAAAGCAGCCCTTTGTTTGTTCACAAAACATTTGTAAATCCTTCGATATGCCAAGGTGGAGATTGGATTTGTGTATAAAATGAGTTTTAGCATCGTTTCGAATTTGTTGAAAGAAAACTTTCGTACAGTTCTAACCATTTCCAAAATTAGATAAATACGAAAGGTTGAATGCTTCAACTCCCTCTGCCGGTAGCAGAATGAAATCCAGAATTACGTTTTAAAATGGATACTCTTCTGAAATGAGAGAAGCCCTTGCTGAGAGCAGTAAACATTTCCACCACTAGGTGTCTCAGAGCTTGCATTACTGGGGAAAGAAAATTTTGACTCAAGTCT